CCCGACACCGGTGGATGGATCTCACTCGTGGGCATAGCGGAAGGCTCAGTGTCAGTGTCTCCCTTCCTGGTCTTCTGGGGGGGCCTCCGCATCGGATGGGTACAGCGGAGCTCGAGCCTTCCACTTGCCTCGCTTCCCCTGGACTAGGGACCAGCCCTCCATAGCATCATCTGGGGGCTGGTTAGCAGGGGTCATGGTGGGGGACAGAGGCGATGGTTCAGGGGTTCGGGGGGGGTAATGGTGAGGCAGCATGAAGGGGGGGTCTCTTTGGGGCGGGACCTCTCCTATGCCCAGTAATATCTTTGCTGCACCCTCCTCCATAGGCTCTACCAGATTGGTAATAGCAAGGGTGGGACTCCCTCGCTCGTCTGGGCGTTGTAGGGGAGGTGTCTCTTGGGCCCGGACGGGAGCGGCGGTGGATCGAGCAGGAGGAGAGGTGGTTTCAGGTGTCGGGCGGCCAGGGGTGCCGGCAACGACGGAGCCAATGTCCTGCCGGGTCTCGGGGGTCTCGGATGCTCCTCCCCACTTGGCCAAGGGGCAGTCTCTTCGGACATGCCCCGCTAATCGGCAGAGGTAGCACCAGGCCTCTCCCGTGGAGTAAAAAACCCGATAGTGGGCTCCCTGGTAGGGGACTAGGAAGGACCCCTCGAGCGCCTCTGGCGGCAGTAGAACTTGCCGGCGGAACGAAAGGACGTGACGAAGAGTGGGGTCCTTGCAGCCCAACGGGAGAGGGCTGAAGACGGCAACGGGTTTCCCCAGGGTGGAGAGAGCAGGAAACAGGGCGGCATTGGGTAGAAAAGGAGGGACGGAGGTCAGGACTAGGCGGACGCGCAGGTCCTCTAGCGGTTCCAGGGGAACAAACACCCCCCCACCGCCAGACCCTTCTCCACCGCCTCCTGGGCGGCAGCCTCCGATGCTAAGAAAAAGACGACCTTCCCATACATTTTGGAGGCCGCTACAATAGCCGTGGGTCCTACCTCCCTCGCCAACACCCGCACGTAGGTCTCCACATGGGGCGAGGCAGGCACCAGGAGCCAACGGACGCCGTGCTTCCTGGTCATGGTGAGGAAGGGGCCCTGGCCGCTATTGATGGTAGCGGAGGTGGTGGGTGGGCGAGATGACGAGGCGGCAGGGGGTTTGCTACCACCCGGGCATATGCCCTGGGGCTGGGGGAGGGACATTCGCAGAGCTGGTGGAGGCAACAGCGGGGAGAAACGCCATGGTCGATGACGAGGCCACAGCGGTGGGGGTAGCCCCTGCCATGGAGGGCCTGGTGGTTGTAGCGGGGCCCTTTCCCTTCTTCACACCTTGGCCTTTCCGGCCAACTGGGGGGGCTCTCCTAGAATCTGGGGGGGCAGTACGCGTAGCAGCGTCAGTAGTCGCCCCGGTGCCTCCTGCTGCCGATGCCCCAGCGGGGGCGGTGTCAGGTGTTTTGGCAGCAGTGGGGGGGGGAGGGAGGCTTGGGGGTTGGGCAGGGGGGTAGGAGGGGGAGGGGCAGCTGAGGTTGTTAGAGGGGACTCACCCCTCTCATTCCCTGCCATCGTGAGCAGGGAGAGATGGGGAGACACCAGAAGGAGGAGGGGGGGGGAAAGCAGATTAACCACTTCTCCCTGTTGGGCTGCAGGCGGGGGCGGGGGCAAATGGGTCGGACTGGGCAGGGGGAGGAAACAGGAGTTGGGATCAGGTAGTAGGGGCAAACTGAGCGGTGGGCAGTCCAGGGGGAGGGAGTGGGGGGACATGGACCCATGCGCGTTTGTCCAAAGAGTCTCGTTTGGTCGGCTGTCGTTTCCGGTCCGGGCGGCGGAATTCAGAGCAAGCAGTTGAATCTAGAGGCAGATGGCAAGTTGCCAGCAGGGATGGACAGCGGGGGGGGCTGTGACGGTTGTAGTAGTGTTGGGGGGGGCACCGATGGATCAGGGGGCAGCTCCTTGCCACACCCCCTGTGCCCCTACAAACGCAGTTAAGACACAGTCAAACTCCCCCCACACGAGAGTACAGTTCAAAAGTTTCTCAGTCTTACGGCCCCCTCCACAATGATTTGTAGCTTCCCTGGGCGATTCCTCTGTCGGCTGCCTTCTCTCCCGGGCTTTGTGGAGCATTCCAAAAAATGCCAAGTAGGTAAGAAGAAAAAAATAACTTATTGGTTAATTACAGGTCCACAAACGAACAGCAAACGGCTGGGTCTGGGGGCTTCCACTCCCCTCCTCTGGGTAGCGGGTCGGCAGTCCCCCCCCCCCGGATATTTCAGCTGGAGCAGTAGCAGTGTCCGAGGGGGCTGGCAGCCGACCAGCACTTGAACGGCAGCAAAAAAAAAACAGCAAAAAAAACCAAAACGAAGAAAAAGCGGCTGGCCCGGTCGGGGGCGGATGGGAACTGAAGCAGGGTCAAAAAGTAAGAAAAGCCCAGGCCAGGGGGCTTTAGGAGAGAATAGAAAGCAGATAGCTGAGCAGCAAGCGAAGGAGGTCCCTCTTCCCTGGGTATGGGAACAGGGAAGGTTCCAGAACATCACGAACCCTCTGGAGACAATTAAGACAGGCTGCTTAGAACACCAGCAGCCAATCAAGAAGCTGCTAGAATCAATTAAAGAAAGCTAAAAAGGGCACCTGGGTTTTAAAAAGGAGCTCACTTCAGTTTGTGCTGTGCATGTGAGGAGCTGGGAGCAAGAGGCACTAGGAGCTGAGAGCGAGAACACAGACTATTGAGGACTGAGGTGTACAAGCATTATCAGACACCAGGAGGAAGGTCCTATGGTGAGGATAAAGAAGGTGTTGGGAGGAGGCCATGGGGAAGTAGCCCAGGGAGTTGTAGCTGTCGCACAGCTGTTCCAGGAGGCACTCTAGACAGCTGCCTTCCACAGGGCCCTGGACTGGAACCTGGAATAGTGGGCGGGCCCGGGTTCCCCCCAAATCCTCCCAACTGCTGGTCGGACACAGGAGTTGTTGACCTGGACTGTGGGCTCAGAAAAACGGCCAAGCTGAGGGCTGCCGTGAAGCTCCAAGGCGAGCAAATCTGCCAATAAGCACAAGACCCACCAAGGTACAGCAGGAACTTTGTCACAACTGGTGTCGGCAGTGGGATCTGGTGTCCAGAGCACGGAGGAAGAAGGAGGGTGTTTGGAAGGAAGGAAAAAAAAAAAAGGAAGAGGGTCTATTTTTATTTTTTTTCACCACAATGAAGGAGGTTGTGTGGGCACTGACACAAGCCACGGCTGCCCAGCAGGAGGCTACTCGTATCCAGGCAGCCGCCTGACAGGAGGCAGTGGGGCTCCAGCAAGAGACTAATCGCCTGTTGATGGACCAGACTGCTCAAGACCGGGCTATGTTGCGGGAACTGGTAAATCAGCTAAAGGACCTTACAGAGCTGAACCGCGGCCACGATGGGACGCAGATCATGCGGGCCAGCAATTGGCTGCAGAAAATGACATGGGAGGATGATGTAGAGGCATATCTCCTGGCCTTTGAGAGGACAGCCCTGCGGGAGGCTTGGCTCCGAGAACAGTGGTCTGGCATCCTCGCTCCATTCCTGTGTGGGGAGGCTCAGAAGGCCTACTATGATTTGCCTGAAGAGGCTGCGGCAGACTACCGCCAGCTGAAAGCAGAGATCCTAGCCAGATCTGGGGTAACGACCGCAGTGCGGGCCCAGCAATATCATGAGTGGAGGTACCAGGAAAACAAAACCCTGCGCTCCCAATTATATGACCTCATCCATCTCGCACGAAAGTGGTTACGAACTGAGTCCCTGAGTCCGGAGGAGACACTAGAGGTTCTGGTAATCGACCAGTACATGAGAGGACTACCGCCAGACCTTCGCGCCTGGGTAAGCCAGAACGAACCCTCCACTTATGACGAGGTTGTTGTGCTGGTAGAAAGGCGAAGGACAGCGACCAGTTAAGGAAGAAGCACCCTGGGTTAAACTAGCAGCACCAAGCCCTAGAGCTCGGGTGACTGGGCCACCAGGAGAACCCAGGTGCAAAGAGAGAGGGGCTGAAGGCCCACCAGAAGCCACAAAGAGTCAGAGCACTGAGGGGGAAGAGGATTGTGATGTTAGACTACCCAAACCAAGAGACCGGGGAATGCCTAGGGCTCCATACAGATGTTACGCCTGCGGGGAGTGGGGACACATAGCTGTACAGTGTCCCAATGCCGAGGAGCCTATACAGTGTAACCTGGGGAACTGGCAGACCCATGCTCCCTAATCCACCTTGTGGGGGGTCTCACTAACCCCACATATGTACACTAGACCAGTGAAGCTAAATGGGGTAGAGACCACAGCACTGGTTGATTTGGGGAGTGCTATCACGCTTGTCTCAGGGAAGCTTGTGAAGCGTAGTCAGCTGTTGTGAGCTAAGTGTACGGGGATAGCATGCGTCCATGGGACAGTTGGTTATTACCCCACCATCCCAGTAAAAATCGAGATTCAGGGGAACACTACTGAGGTAGCAGCAGGGGTAGTCCCTAAACTCCCAGACCCGGTGCTCATAGGGAGGGACTTCCCAGGGTTTGGAGACTTACTCCCGGTAGGGGAATTGGAGAAAGGGGGAAGCCCTGAAAGTAGTGAGGCATCCACGGTAGACTGTCAACCCACAACCTTCTCTGAAATATCCCCCCAGATTTGTTCTCCCAGACAGCGTAGAAAGACGAAAAGGGAAAGAAGGGCAGCTAAGGCCTTGGGAACCCGAATACTGGCCCAAAGCCAGAGGATCGCTCTCGTAGGTAGGCGGACCCAAGCAGCTGAAAACGAGGCCACCCAAGAGGGAGAAGCACCCGAGTCTGACCCACACCCTAACGTCTCTGCACAAGTAGAGACAGCAGAGACTGGCCCCCTAGATCTCGGGCAGATTAGCCCCGGAAGAGGAAATTTTGGACTAAATAAAAGGATTATATTCAAGGAAAAAAAAAAGATCATGCTTGTTTTTCATACTGCATACATATTTGGGAATATCAGCTATTAAGGTTTAAGTGCTGATTTTAGAAAGTTTTACAGTGAAACAAACATCTTACCACTAGCTGAACTCGTCCACCATTGAGTATGTCTGGATCTAAGTCAGGCAAGAAGCGATTGCTGTGTAGTGATAAAAACCAGAGCAAATACTTCAGAAACACCTTAACTATACAGATTTCGATAAGATACCTTCCTGGAAGTACTATTGCTCAATAGAGAAAGCAACATATTCAGTTAAATATGATCAATGATTATTTTTATTTTATATCAAGGCATATTATTTTTTAAACATCTGAGTAGCTCAAATATAGTCATCAGTTATTTCAAGCTAGCCAAACACGTAGTTCTCAAAATGCAAATCAGTCAATGACTGGAAACAAAAAATATAGCGGTTTGCTGAATAAGTATAAATTACAGCCATAGACTCTGATCCAAAACCCACTGAAGAAAGTGAAGACTCCCTTTGACTTCAGTGGGCTTTGGTTCAGGCTCACAATTATCAGGTCTAATCAAATCAGTTGTTATATTTATCTTCTGTCACAATGAAGTTGTTTAAGTCTATCAGCTGTTTTACACATTGTGTTCCCATTGAAGTCAATGGGAGTTTTGCCACTAACTTCAATAGGAGCAGGATTGGACAAAATATCGATATACAGTGTTGTAGCTGTGTTGGTCCCAGGATGTGACACTCTGAAACAGATGTGGTAGAGACCTAAAGATGAGCTCTGTATCAGCGCAAAAGCTTGTCTCACTCACCCATAGAAGTTGGTCCAATAAGATATTACCTCATCCAGCTTGTCTCTCTAGTACTAATATTAATGTCCTACACATCAGAGGTGCTGGAACTAGGGGTTCTACCACACCTCCCGACTTGAAGTGGTTTCCATCATATACAGGATTTACAGTTGGTTCAATGGCTCTCAGCACTCCACTTTAAAAATTGTTCCAGCACCCCTAATACGCACATTTGCAGAGGTAACTTCAGATTTTAAAACTTTTCCTGCGGCGGACATATTTTCTTACTTTTGAAAATCATCCTGTTTTCCTTTGCAAAATGTTTTCATTAAAATCAAAAGCAGTGAAAAATCACCTTAAACACCTGGAGTCCATGAAGCTCACTATGAGATTATTGCTACTTACTCATCTGATATACACAATTTAACAATGTAGAGAAAGATTATTTTTTCTAAGTGAAAAAATATATCAGTACAGTAGTTTTCTTCAGAAATTAATATTTTTGCTTCTTAAAGAAATAGGTTAAATAAAGCATACTAGCATGATTTTTCTTTTTAAAAGAAAAGTCACTGCACTTCGCAGTGACTTCAATGGCCAAATATTTATTGGCTATTGACTTCATGAACAAGAAATGGTAAATGCACTGTGTTTATGTTAACATCTCCGTTTAAGGAGCAACAATATTTTTAATAAATCTATACTTGTATTTGATCTAGTTAATAACCAAAACAAAGTTAATACAGAGGAGGGGCATTTTACAACCCCTTATCCAAATGTAGGATAGACTTGTCAAGGTTGTATTTTCTTAATTTGTTCTCTGTGTTTCAAAGATAAAATAAAAATACATATTATCCATTTGTAAAGTTTTAATTAGTTCCTTAACATATCCTAACAACGTATGTACAGTGTATCTAATTAGCTATTACACTAAAATAATTTGAATGCATTATATAACAAGGAAATTATGCCCCACGTGAAGAACATATATTTTTCCTATATTCTTCATAGAATACAATTCCTCATATTTGTGGTGAAAAGTTACTTATATATGTTATCATTAGATATTGCATTCTGGTAGCATACCAATTCCCTATCAGTTGCAGAAGAGGGATCCATACAATTATTAAATCAGTTTTAACGGGAGTCTGTTTGGGACCTCAAAAAGAAAAGGAGGACTTGTGGCACCTTAGAGACTAACAGATTTATTTGAGCATAAGCTTTTGTGAGCTACAGCTCATTTCATCCACTGAATGCATCTGATGAAGTAAGCTGTAGCTCACAAAAGCTTATGCTCAAATAAATTTGTTAGTCACTAAGGTGCCACAAGTCCTCCTCTTCTTTTTGCGGATACAGACTAACACGGCTGCTACTCTGAAACTTGTTTGGGACCTGGTATTGTGATGTGCAGGCCTTTGGCTATAAAGCCATGTTTGTTTTAGGACAATACACCTAGGTTTCACTTTACAAGAGGTATTTAACATACACAAATCTAATTTAAAAGCCAATGAACTCACCATTTAACATTGCTCAAACTGGTTGCTTCATAATCTCCGACCTGTGTGTGAAGCCATTGGTATGTAAATTCTTTGCTCCTTTGTAATTTCTCAGCTGAAGTGGTATCCAAGTGGACAATATCTTCTTCCCTCCCTGGGGATGAGAAAGAGATCCTCATCTTCCATTGTTATTTGAGAACAAGAGAGAGTAAAAGAGCAATCATCCAACTCTGCAAATATCAGAAGATGATTTTGAGGAAGTCAACAAACCAGCAATTATCCACATAACCTGAAAAGAGTCCAAAGCCCTCTGAATTACTTTTAAACATTATTCTTTTTTAGGATAAAATCTTGACCCTTTGAAGAAAAGTGTCTGGAAGGGGAAGATTGCAGAGCATCCTTCTGCAGTAGCTGGGGAAATAAAATTCTATCTAGGAACTTACAGCCCTGCTTAGTGCAGCATCTAAATGCTTCTCAAACATTAATGAATTTATCTTTACTTTGCCCCCATAAGGTAGGAATTATTATTATCCTCATTTTCCAAATGGGAACCAAAGCAAACGTGACTTGCCCAAAGTCACACAAGAAGTTGGCAGAGCCTCAACTGATAGTGGTCCCAACTCTCAGCTTCAGCTGCCTCCAAACAGTCATTTCATGTTAAGATAATAAATCTTAACTATATATTAGCAAAGGTTTTTTTTTTTTTCTGGGGGAAATCTAGCTGAAGAGTTGGAACAACTGCTGAAACTTACCTCTGAGTGTTGGGGGGGAAAGCAGGGCAGAGAGTCAGGGAGGAAGTCGCATATACAATAAGCTATAATAAAAAGTACATACTCTTTTTAACTGGCAAGTTATGTTTTCCAAATTATTGTTAATTATTTGCTACGTGTATGGTTTGGATTTCTGACTGTGTTATGTCTGGGGAATATTGCCAATTGTTTTATTCATAGCAATGCAAAACATTCTGACATCCAGTTACTTAAAAAAGGAAATGATCAAGATAAATGTATGTACATTAAACTGACAAATGTATGAACTGATTTTTAAATCACATCTGCTATTTAACACAATGGCCACTTTCCATATTACATTTAACACAGTTTTTGTTTTCTCAAACGGGCAAATGCTATGCAGGAACTGCTTAGTAATGCATAAGAAAATTCTGTTCTCTTGTCTCTCCCTAAAATATATTGACACACTTAAATCTCAGTGTTAATGTCTTGAATATTTTTCTTGAGGTTACAATCTTTTTACTTATTTAGAAAAAATAATATATTAAAAAAATAATAAATGTTAATCAACCACTCTTGTTCCATTTGTGAACCTTCAAAACCACCCATACCAAATAGCATGTGTTTGGGGATCAAGATATATCAATAGTAATAAAATGCTATTTACCTGACAGCATTCTTAAATTAGGACTCTAGCTTTCTGACAGCTTGTGGCCTGATTTTCAAAAGTACTGAACACCTACAAATCCCACTGAAATCATTTGGGGCTATAGGCATTCACCATCTTTGAAAATCAGGCCTATCTATTTGCAAAACATAAACTCCTCTTGGAATACCAGGTTAAAGGGAACTTTTGACTATTCAGAGAGAAATGACAGTAATAATAACACCACCTCTCTCTTATGTAGTACTTTTCATCAGTAGATCTCAAAGCACTTTACAAAAGGAGGTCAGTATCATTGATCCCCATTTTACAGATGCAGAAACTAAGGCACAGGGAGGTAAATTGACTTGACCAAGGTCTCTTAGTAGGGCCAGGAGCAGAACCAGAAATATAACACCGAGGACCCCTAAGTCCCAGTCCAGTGCTCTAACCACTAGGCAATACAAGAAAAGTAAATTAATTTCAGAAACATTAAAACAACACACATTAAGGGATCATTTCTAAGCTTTCAATCTATTACACTTTACCTACATGATACATGCACTTTAACCATTTAAGATTAGAAAACTCAATACAATAGTGATTTTTAGGTGCTGTCAATTAACAGTCAGCACGCACAACACACAACTGCACTCTGTTATGCTTTAATATTTCAATATTAAATTTCTCTGGGCTAGATAATATCCTCACAATTGTGCATGTCCAACCTTTTTCATGGAACTTGGACTCTAGAGGATGACTTTGTTCAAGTAGTCAGCTTACTGAGGGTGAAAATTGAGGGATCAACTCACTTGGGTCTCTAAAGGATTATGTCTGGTCTAAGAAGGATCTTTCAAACATAAAAAAATATAGGGAGGTGATTTCAGGTCTCTAGTTTTATGTTACTTATTTCTCTGGTCTTATAAAGTTGGAAAGTAATGCCTGAGGCGTAACTATTAACACCTAACTAAAGCGCTAGGAACCTAGCCCAACGTTGGCAGTTGAAGAGCAAGGTAAACACCGTTGACAATAATATTTTAGAATATTATTTGTATTTAATCTGTAATGTTGAACCTTTGCATTCCCCAGCTCAGAAGAACTTTAGCTGCTCCTCTAGTGGGGGGATGGGCAACTAGAAAGTACGCAGGGTGCCGAGTGGGGATTTTCAGGCTACGTCTACCCTTGGAATCAGGGGGGTGATTCCCAGGGCACTAAAAGTAGCGTAACTGCAGTAGCACAGGCAAAGTGCTGAGTGGCACCATAGGCTTGCTGCCCTGACTATGCACTCACGGTCCAGGAGTTTCCCAGTGAGCCCAATTAACGTCTGAAGGTGAATGAAAGAGCTATAAGATGGAAATTTCTCAAGGGAAAGCAATGTCTGACCATGAAACTGAACTCTAAACCAAAAAGCACCCAGAAACTTACAAATGTACTAAGGAAAAGGTTAACACAGAGTTGTCATAAATATAAAGGGAAGGGTAAACCCCTTTGAAATCCCTCCTGGCCAGGGGAAAGCTCCTCTCACCTGTAAAGGGTTAAGAAGCTAAAGGTAACCTCGCTGGCACCTGACCAAAATGACCAATGAGGAGACAAGATACTTTCAAAAGCTGGGAGGAAGGAGAGAAACAAAGGGTCTGTGTCTGTCTGTATGCTGGTTTCTGCCAGGGATAGACCAGGAATGGAGTCTTAGAACTTTTAGTAAGTAATCTAGCTAGGTATGTGTTAGATTATGATTTCTTTAAATGGCTGAGAAAAGAATTGTGCTGAATAGAATAACTATTTCTGTCTGTGTATCTTTTTTGTAACTTAAGGTTTTGCCTAGAGGGGTTCTCTATGTTTTTGAATCTAACTACCCTGTAAGATATCTACCATCCTGATTTTACAGGGGGGATTTCTTTATTTCTATTTACTTCTATTTTTTATTAAAAGTCTTCTTGTAAAAAAACTGAATGCTTTTTCATTGTTCTCAGATCCAAGGGTTTGGGTCTGTGGTCACCTATGCAAATTGGTGAGGCTTTTTATCCAACATTTCCCAGGAAAGGGGGGGTGCAAGTGTTGGGAGGATTGTTCATTGTTCTTAAGATCCAAGGGTCTGGGTCTGTGGTCACCTATGCAAATTGGTGAGGCTTTTTATCCAACATTTCCCAGGAAAGGGGGGGTGCAAGTGTTGGGAGGATTGTTCATTGTTCTTAAGATCCAAGGGTCTGGGTCTGTAGTCACCTAGGCAAATTGGTGAGGCTTTTTACCAAACCTTGTCCAGGAAGTGGGGTGCAAGGTTTTGGGAAGTATTTTGGGGGGAAAGATGCATCCAAACAGCTCTTCCCCAGTAACCAGTATTAGTTTGGTGGTGGTAGCGGCCAGTCCAAGGATAACGGGTGTAATATTTTGTACCTTGGGGAAGTTTTGACCTAAGCTGGTAAAGATAAGCTTAGGAGGTTTTTCATGCAGGTCCCCACATCTGTACCCTAGAGTTCAGAGTGGGGGAGGAACCTTGACAAGAGTACTGCGTACAGAGATTTTTTGACCCATTCACAACAGCAAGAGTCCTGCAGAAAGTAACTGAAGCATACGTAGCAAGAGTCCTGCAGAAAGTAACTGAAGCATACGTAGCCAGAATCTAGTAAAATGAGGACTACAACCTTTGATTCTGTCCCAAAACTCTCTCCCTCTCCTTCTCCACATGATTGTTCAGATTTCAAAGAGAAGATCAATAAGAGCTACCACAATCTCCCCCTCCTGCTCTCCTCTAATCCCTCCACCTGCCCTAGTGTGATTCCACCCTTTTCACATCCTGACCTCCCTTGACCCCCACCATCATTCTCCAGTGCTCTCCTCTCATAATGCAAGCATGCTCTGGTCTCTCTGATCCTCAAAAAGTGAGGACTCAAATAGGGCCAGAGTCCAATATCTTGGTAAAATCAGTTCCACTTTTCGTTTGTGAGGCCATACTCCTCCTCCCCATTTCAGTTTTCTTGCCAGCTGTCTCAATTCCCCTCCCCTGCACTCTATCTCTGGGTGCTCTCTTCTACTCACATGACTTCAGGTACCTGACAAATTGAAAAAATCTACCTCTCCACTCCTAACCTGCCTCCCTCCATATAATACCATATCTCAGCTAAAGATGACACCTCAGTTTTCTCATAGTAAAATTACCTGGAAGATTTTTTTTTCTTCTGAGAAGGTTGTGTGATTTTTATGGTCTAGAAACAGAGTTAAGAAAACATGACCTAGCCACTGTTTTGGGTAGTCACAATTGAGATTCTAGCGATGAATACCAGGACTAAAATTAGTACCTAAAGTTGGGGACTACTGTTACTCCTTGATAATGAAAAATCCAAGATTAACAAGTAGAGAACTATAGAATGTATCTATTGCCAAGAGTAGATGCATTTTAACTCCTTCACAGATGACAACCTCCATTCTGGCATTTATATTCAGCATTGCTCTGGTAAATATCAGCATGTCACCTTGTAATACTGACATTTTAAAGGAGCCATATTGTACTAGATATGTGCGGCAAAACAGTAGGATTTTTTTTTTTTTTTTTTGCTTCTGCACCTGGCACGATAGCCAGACGCAAATGGTTTATCAAGTGAATTACATAGAAGAAAATTAAGACAGAAGTAAACTACATAAATGCTGAAAGACTAAGATTCTAACTGCTCTGTAACTTTCCAGATTCATAGGAATAATTCAACTCCCTCACAAAATGTCAGTGCTACTATTTCCAAAGCAAGGTTTAGAAAGAAAGCAGTCTTTCATTTCTTGTATGCTGGATGA